GTGGGTACTTATATAAGAGAAACAAAGTGCCACCAAAAAAACCCCACAGAACTAAAGTCTGGCATGGCCATACAATGCAAGAACACCAGTATTTGCATATTTGTATGGTTTTATTAGTATTTTTGATTAAATAATCTTTAGAATGAAAATGCATAGGCATTATTTAATGAAGCAGATGAACCCACAATATTTTCACCAACACAAGGCATCTCAGAGATCTTTTGCATTACAAAAGTTTCTTGTGTAATTTGAAACACGACTGGACATAATTAGTAGTACAGAACAAATGAGCACTGAAAGAAAATACCATCCTCATACTTTTAATACGGAATCGATTATTTTTAAAAGCAAATCCACTGCAAGCAAAGCACTAGAGAAACAGTTCTAAAGAAAATTCTACAAATTAAAACCAGGGCAGCAAAAAGTTCTGGGTTGAACTAACAAATGATGCTCTCCTCCATTCCACTCTGCAACAAACATGGGCTGAAGGAGGTATTTAAATTGATTAACAATATCAACTCAGTTAATACCCTGTTTATTCAATGTGTGGCTTAGACTTCTGTAAAATCATTTTTCAAATTTCAGCATGGAACTGAATTAGCACCCTCATTTTTATGATAATATTGTTAATTTAATGCATGGCTTGGAGTGAGACTTCAAAGTGAATCAGAAAAATATGCCGTTTTTTTCTTGTCATAGACAACCTTCTTCATGCACTAGTGGTTTGACCTTAAATTTTAACTTTTACTGCACAAAATCATTGTCATTCAACTGTTCTTTTATAATTCAATCATTTAGCTCATCAGTCTTAGATAGATTTTTGCATTACCCTCTCCATAAAAGCCAAAACAAATTTTAATATTTTCTTTTCATGTTTATTCTCTGGAAAGGTCTGGATCAAAAAGCTTCTCAGTATACTATATAAGCACTTAGCAGAGAGTTTCACACAAACATGAAAACCAATTGGAATAGCTACAGAAAATCTTTTTTTTTATGTAAATCTTCCTCTTTCTTTTTCCATGATGGCATTAAAGAGAAAATGGTAACTGTAGATTATATTGTTCAAATAAAATCTACAATATACTGGAGTTCCACATAGAAAAAGATTGTATACTTCCTCTCAAAAACGCTGTAGTGTTTCCTCCAACATGTACCCTGCAAAACAAGAGAAAGCTGACGGTGTAATGAAGGGTGAAACGATAATGTCCTCTCCAGTAAATGGGATCCAGCCAACAAGAACAAGACTCTCACACAGATTTGCAGGGCACTCTGGATAGAGTTTCAAATACCCCATTGCCCTGGCACTTGCAAGACCTGGCAGCACAGGTACCCCACAAGATAGAAATAAGTGGCCGCTTGAAACAGATTGGGAGTTAGGTGATGAGAGTTAAGTGAGGTCATGAGGGTAAGCTAGCATGGAACTGTGTCTTCTTAGAGTTCTAGAAGACTGGTTTTCTCTCCACTTCTTCCTCGCTTCCTCTTTCTCTCTCTCCCTTGCTCACTCACTCCTTCTCTGGTCAGTCTCTCTCTTACACTCTTGCTTTCTCACTCTCTCATAAGTCATTGTCTCCTAACACTGCCTCACTCACTAGCTCTCACTCTCCCTGATGCGTCCCATCTTCTAGCATCTAGGCAGAAGACGCCAAGAAGATATCTGATTGCAAGCCAAAAAGGGAATCCTCACCAGAAAATAAATCCTGTCAGACCTTGATCTTAGACTTTAAAACCATGAGCAAATAAGTTTCTGTTGTCTAAACCACTCAGTCTGCAGTGCTATGTATGTCTGTGATTTTTTAATTCTATGTGCTGTTTCTTTGGTATGAGAACTTTACTTACAGATTATATTCCAAAGAAGCACACCCAACCCTGGTAAAAAAAAAATATATGATCAGTCTCTTCGCTAGAGCTCCTAAGTAGAAAACCAGTAGGTAACAGCATAGTGTCAGCAAAGGGGGTGAGTAATGACTAGCTTTATGCCAACCATAGGTAATGGAAGACCCTGTTATACAAATACATTCAGTTAACAATGAGGCAAGTTGCTCAATATGCTATAAAATAGAAATATATTTTTATGAAAAAATTATGTGTTCTTATATTTAGAAAAATGTGGAAAAGTATGTGCCAAATGGAAAGAAAATGGAAACATTTCTGAATTGTTTAAAATTTTACATATGTTGTCTATATTAAAAGCAGTCAATGTGTAAAGTTACTGTTAATTAATGGTTCCTTTTATGACCTCAGGCTTTTAATATAAATTCACTAACATATTTGATCCATTCCTTTACCCATTAGGGAAACAGAGTTCATGGTTTTAACTACAGAGACTTCCAATAAAAAAGTTCAGAGTGTCTTTCAGAGTGTTGTCAAAATCATTACGTAAATAGTCTTGAAGCTGGTCATTTATGTTGAAAACTAATAACACGTACAGTGAGGGTTAATGGAGTCTCTAATGGACATCTTTATATAAGGGGACAATCTGGGGTAAGGATAATATATGTTTCCTTAACTATGGTATAATAACTGACATGTCTACTTTTAACTATCTTAATTACCCTCTGTTCATTACTGCGTTGACAGTGTTTGTATATCTTAATGAACTTATAAGAGATTATGTGATTGATTGGTTTTGTTAACAGAACAATAAATCCTGACTGATAAAGAATTCAGAATATAATTACTTAGCTCATCTTATTATGCGAATTTCTGGTACTTCTGTAATGAGTAATTAAAGATTAATAAGAAAGATAGGCTCAAATTAGCAGCTTCTTATCTTGAAGTGCTCCAGGATGTGTGGGGATCAGGGCACATGTGCATATTCACAAGGAGACTGGTAAGTTTTCTTGATTTGAAAATGTAAAAAATTCAGTATCTCTGAAAGTCTCCTTTCAAAGAGTTGCACCCAGGTGCACACAGTTTCACATAGTCCAGAGATGGTATAAGGACAGTGGTGGAAGGTTTTGGGCACTTTTGTGGTGGTGAAGGTGCAATAACTTTTAACGCCAAAACCATAAACATTAGCACTACTGTAATCACGCTATCTAAACTGCAATGAAATTTAAAATTTAGGGAAACAAAACCAGTTGAGTGGCCCAATCTCTCTTTCTACTTTTATCTAGGAAGCTAATCAGGTAAAGAAGAACAGTGAAGTAGTGAGATACTAAGCCACTTAAGTGAGTATGTGATCCCCAACCACTGCTTCCACTGCTGATGTCTCTGTTGCTCTGGTAGGTGGTCCGGGCCTAAGGTGAAGATCCAGACCAAAATGTGCATGCAGAACCCTGGGAAGGGAGTTCACATTATCATTGCCACTCTTGGGAAGGCAGTGACAAGTATTAGGCATTCAAGGCATTTTTATTTGCTTATATATTTTATGCACGTACTATGTATCCGTTCTCAATGGAATGGAGCAATGGACTGGAGAGATAGCACATTGGGTAGGGCGTTTGCCTTGCATGAGGCTGACCCGGGTTCAATTTCTCCATCCCTCTTGGAGAGCCCAGCAAGCTACTGAGAGTATCCCGCCTGCACAGCAGAGCCTGGCAAGCTACCTGTGGTATATTCGATATGTCAAAAACAATAATAACAAGTCTCACAATGGAGACGTTTCTGGTGCCCGCGCGAACAAATCGATGAACAAGGGACAACAGTGCTATTATGTATCCATGTGTGTATGTATGCACTTCTTCAAAGGGAGCATTTCCCAAGCAGTGTTTAGGAAACCCTGTCAACAAGCCTGATGATTCAATGGTCCAAGGAGGTGATGCCACCATGCTGAGGATTACTTGGGTCATCTGAGCAGTGCTAGTAGCTTTTGCAGGACTGTGCTCAGCCATGAGAGATCATTTTAAGCTAGAGGTCAAACCCAGTCAGGTGCATGCTAGGTAAGTATGCAGTTACCCTTTGGGCAGCTTGATTATCCCCACTTCGCAGTCAATGGGTTGATGTTTCTCTCCAGAGGTGGATGCCCAAATGCCCAGTTACATGTGGAAATACTGTAATTCAAAATAAGGCACTGACTCTAAAGTCTTAATTCCATCCCACTCACCAAACCTTCTCCATGGCCATTGGCAGCCACAGATCGTGGGATGGGGGACAAACAAACACTGGTGACTAGCATGTGAGAGCATCTAATTAAGTGCATGAGGGAAAGTGCCAGGCTCACAGTGACTGCAATCTTTGGGGAAAAAATTGGGAGGGACCTAAGGAACAATGTGAGAATCATACCAGAAGAAGAAGAAAAACTAGAAATGAAGAGGGAAACCTGAGTCAGGGATCCTTTCCTGGATGCAGGTTAATGTCTTGATCTCCCACTTTCTGGCCAGGTAACTACATCTGGGCCACTTCTATCCAAGCTGCCCTGGCCATCCAGAGTCACCATGGAAAAGGACATGCATGTTCCAGGAGAGCACATAGTGGGCACTCTCCAAAGCCACACTGGTTTCTAAAGCTGAATTCTTTTAAAACTAATTCACTGCATTCTAGTAGCTTTAGCATGATTATCTCACTCATTGATATCAAGATAATCTAACATCATTTTCATGTGAGCAAATTCAGTGATTTAAAGAAAACCCCATGAGATCAAATTCCCAAAGCTCTTCAAAGGTCAGTTCTGCAAACCTCAATCCCTTCCATATTGGTGCTTCTCACATGACAGTTATCTGCATACTCAGTGGGGAGAAGACCAGTGACCAATCGTAGCCTCAGTTTCTGAAATCTCCTTCAAGATAAACACCTAGTGAATTAATGGGAATGACCAGACTTCATCCCGGGATAGTGCCATACAGAAGCAATAAAATAAGCCTTTGGAAAGGGGACATAGCTCCGATGTTGGAGAGCACACTTTGTATGCAGGCAACTGAGTTGCATCCCCAGAACTGTATAATCCTCTGAGCACAGCCAGGAGTGACCCCCAAGCAATAAGATGAGAGGAGCACCACCTGAGCACCACCAGTGCTAAAACATCAAATCAACCCAAAGTGCAGGACAAGCACAAAACTTACAGCAATGATATTGAAGAAGTCATCATCTCCCAGCGTATCCAAAATAGATGAGACTGTCTGCTTCGCAATCGTCAGACGAAGCCCTTTCATGCTGCCACTGACGTCAACCAAAATGACTACATCTTTCGGAGAAGTTGCTGCCTGGATGTACCTAGGGCAGGGGACAATGAAGTAAAAATTGAATCCTGAGCTGTGCTTCTAGCTTTTATTTTTCTTTTTTGAAAAAAAATAATGAGTTAGAGGATCTTGGGGAAATAGCTCAAGAGGTTGGTGCACCTTCCTGGCATGTGTGAGGCCTCATTTGATTCCCAGACTCATGTGGGTCCCACAACCACCCAGAATAGTCCTGGTGGCCAATAGCACCATGAGGCCCATCAATGCCACATTATGGGCAGCGCACTAAACCACAAGACCTGTACCGGATGTCCAATTACAGCCTGGAGTATCCCCCCAGGCCCTCAAATACTGCTGGGAACACTGTCCAATAAACAAAAAAATAAATAAATAAGTGAAAAATAACTAAGAGGTTTACAATTTCCTACCATTTTCGGTTCCTGCAGTCAAAGGCAATGACTCCATTCTCATCTGGTTCCCATTTAATCCCTAGAAGAAAAATGGAGTTATAAGAAACCCAGAAACTTCAAATATTTATGCATATCATTTCAAGGCTGCTCTGCTTTGCTGAGTGAATGTACAGGGTGAAAAATCACACAGAAAGAACAACCCTGGAGCTCATCACCTGCTCCATCACCAACTCCGTGAAGGTATTGGAGGGCTGTCCTATCACCACACACAGCCTCAGCTCAGCTCCACCCAGACCCGCAAAAGGCGGTGACAACCTTAGTGATGAGCTGTCCATCAAGAAAGGACTCCACTAGCGACTCATTAGTGGAAGATGCCAAAGTTCATGAGGTTCCTTCCTAGAGTTCTGAGCAAAGTGGGTTCTGGCTCTGGACCCAGGTAGGTGACTTTTACAGCACAGGAATGAGATTAAAGGTATTTGAAGCATTTCCTTCTAAGAATATACACACTTCCCATCTTTCCTCACTTCTGTTTTAAACATCAGAATGTCCCCTCCCCCAAATCCCACTGCTGCCAAGCCAGTCTGGCTTTCCACACAGAAATAAAATCAAACTGCTTTGATTATATCACATAATAAAGTTTGATTTTCAGGTGTTCAGGATTGGAACGTTTGCCCTTGTATAAAAATGGGAACCTACATCCTTATTCTGTAGGTTTGCAGTCTGGACAGAACTGTTTGAGACTGATATTCTCTACTTTTTTACTAAGTCTAGTTTTGTTATTTTCGGAGGGCCTATTTCACAGTTATCAAAGCTTTTACCCTTCTTTTTATCCTTATTCTGGAAATCTTAGAAGGATTCTCTGGGGTTAGGAAAAGCTAAACCAGACTAGCTCAGTCACGTAGTTTCTTGTTCGGTTTTGGTTTGGTGGCCACACCTGGCTGTACTCAAGTCCTAGTCCTTGCCCTGTGTTCATGCTTACTCCTCGCTCTGTACTCAGGGATCACTTCTGGTAGGCTTTGGGGGAAACCAATGGAGAGCCAAAAATTTAACCTGTGTCAGTTGCATGCAAGGCAGGTGCCTTAACTTCTATATTATTTCTCCAGCCTCTAGGCTTGAGGTCGAGAGGATGTGCCAGCCTCTCCCTGGCAGAAGCTCGATCCTATTAGCTCTGATATAACCAAAGCAGAGTCTTATGAACATTTTGCACTAATAAGGCTCCAGCTCTGAAGTAACCAAAGCAGAATCTTAGGAACACTTTTGCACTCATAAGGCTCCCAGGACCCTGGCCAGTGAGCACCAGCTAGTGAAACCCATTTCAACCTCTACTCTCCTTGGTCTTCATTAGCGTATTAAACTACACACCCCCAATGACATTTCTCTGTGTCATGGACATACCCTGTATGTTCTTATATGTTCAATAAGCCCTCAATTGCTCATTCTCACTGATCCCCTCAGGAATCTATATGAATTTCCTGAAAAGCCACTTAAAATATGTATAAGCTGTTCCCTCACTCTACCTCTATTGGTCATAATACCAGACTTCAACTTCTCTTTGAAGCTGTTTCCCATTCTATGCTGGTATTCACCATTCACAACTAAAGTTGTTCACTGAAAATAAAAAAGCCCTCTTTTCTTTTCAGATGTTTCCATGCTTTATCTAGGATGTCACAGTGCTCAGGGATCTGGGGCCCACTTCTGATAATACTCAGCCAACCATGCTAGAAGGATAATCTCACACTGGCAATGTGGTGCTGCTCAGCCCAGCAGTCTTGGGGGCCACAAAGGGAACCTCATAAATGTTCATGGGTTCTCCAATCCAGTAACCAAGTGGTGTTACTGGATTCTTGGGATATAGCTCTTATGCTTAGGGGTCCATGTAAGGCTGGGGCTTGAACTCAGGTCTCTGTTCCTGTACAACACATGCTCTTAACCTATAAGCTATCTCCTCATCTCCTACAACTTACTTTCTAAGAATCAAATTTGATTTGAAAAGAAAAGTAGCACTGTAGCACTGTCCTCCTGTTGTTCATCGATTTGCTCGAGCGGGCACCAGTAACATCTCCATTGTGAGACTTGTTGTTACTGTTTTTGGCATATAGAATACGTCATGGGTAGCTTTCCAGGCTTTGCCATGTAGACAGGATACTCTCGGTAGCTTGCTGGGCTCTCCGAGAGGGGCAGAGGAATCAAACCCAGGTTGTCCACATGTAAGGCAAACGCCCTACCCACTATGCTAGTGCTCCAGCCCTTGACAAGAAAAGTACTATCTAAAATAAGATAGAAAACCAAAACTCTTAAAGTCTTGACATCAGAATGGCTTAAATAAGTGAAGCCAAAACTTGCAAGTTAAGAAAAATAAAGAGAAGAGGATAGGAAGATAGTGCAGGGGTTGGGGATTACTGTGTGACCCCTGAGCTCAACCAAGTAAAGCCATGGAACTCCCCCAAGCACTGCTGTTGTGACCTACTGATCCCCAGAACCACAGGTCTAGAGCAACACCACCTCATAGAGCCTTATTATGCAATAATTTGACTCTGTTGGTCTAGTATCAATGAGATTTGTCCCAAGTTCAAGCACTTCTTGGACATTCTCTTTACAAAAAATAAAGAAAATTAAAGAAAGGATGCAAGACAAAAATATGTATTTACATAAAGAGAAAATCCAGGCTCATATTATGACATTGTGATTCTTCTTTTTAACCAGTAATAACCATATTCCTAAATTAAAATTAGGCATATGCTTAAGACAACATTCCCAAATCATTATACTTAAAACAAGAGTTTGCAACCTAAAGAACCATTTTATTCAATTTTTCTTATATCCACATTTCCCATTTGCAAATATGCCTGATTTAAAGAACTACTGCTATGAATTATAAAATAAATATGAGAGGCTACTGTGAAATGAAGGTCATTATATAATGAAGATACACAGAAACTGATATAATATTGTACACTAAGGGACAGAAATGCAACTCGTTTAGTGGCATATAACACATCAATTTGTATAAAGCAAAGCACAGCTAGGAGGCACAGCCTTAGTACATAATAAAATTACCTCTATGATGAGGCTAGGTAATGTTCCGATTTATATTTCTACAGGGAGTCAGTTTTATTCCAACACAAAGAGATTTTTAAAAAAATCTGTTAAACCATGGTAGACATTCAGTAATGCTTCTGGAATTGTATGATGAGTGATTATAGATCAAGACCATATCTGACCATCCTCTGTCCCATCCCATGATACCCTCCTCCTCCTTATCATAGCTCTCTATGAGTTCCAGTGCGAGCAGAAAACACGCAATTCTCTTTCACTGTCCCAGCTTTTAGTCCAGGACACTCCAAGCTCTACATTTAGATTGAGATCATTTCCTTGCAAATGGGTTTATAATGCCTCCCAGTTGCTGATGAAACTTGATGCTTTTTGAGAAGCCAATACGAAATTGATCTGCTGGAATAACTTTCCAGGGACACAACTCCAAGGGGAATGCAGATCAAATGAAATGGGTACAGAACCTTTTGCCTGCTAATCACAATTTTCCTCAGACTTCAAGCACTCTGCAAGCTGAGACACATCCAGCAGTGACTAAAAGATGGATTCAGATCCTGCCTGCTGTCAGGAAGGTTCCCATCATCAGGGAATGCAGATTTTAGATAAGAAAGTACAAGTGCCAGAGAGGTCACTAAGAGGCATTGTGTTGATGTTAATGTATGAAAAGTCATACTGGTCTCTCTTTCAGACTTTGACAACATTGAACCTCAATTAACCATTGCCTGGGCACCATTAATCCTAAGTTAGCTTAATATTTCACTTTTTAATAGGTAGGTTTATGCTTTTTACCGGCAGGAAGTAGCTATAGAAGACAAGCCTTTACCTACATGCCCTTTAAAGATTTAGAGAGATGAAATCCCTAAAGAGCACAATTGTGGGAAGATAGACATAGGAGGCAGTGGCAATGAGTTTTTCTGAAAATAATAAAACTAAGATTAAATTCCCTAGCTTTGAAGCAGCCCAATAAAGACAGCATCTCTTTGAGGTGCAAACACTAAGCTCTTTGGAGATGAAGAAAATAAACCACCACCGGTTGCAGAATCTAAGGAACCAGTGAATGAATGATGGATTTCCCTCAGAAAAGGAGAATCAGAGATAGAGAGAGCGAGAGAGAAAAAAGAGAGAGAGAGAGAGAGAGAGAGAGAGAGAGAGAGAAAGAGGGAGGGAGAAGAGAGAGAGAGAGGGAGAATCTAAAGATTGTGATAAGAATATGAAAGAACTTCATAAAGAATCCAAGCCTATTTTCCTGTGCCAACACCCAGATTAACTTCCAGTATGTGAATAATTCTACACCAGGGCAGTTTGCAAGAGGCCCTACTATAAAACAAACTTTGTATAGATATGTGGGGCTTATTCTTCTCCACTAGGAGGTTGACCAGTATCTCACCATAAAATGTTTATTCAGTTTTCTTTTTTTCTTGAGCAGTCTATGTTCTCTTTTAACATTTAATCTCATTTTCTCTCCCTTCACATTTCTTTAGGTAAACTTTTTCAAATAAAATTATTTTACTTCCAAAACATGTGGTCCCAAATAGAAATAATACAGAGACAACGTGCTTTCCTTCCATGCAACCAACTCCAGATAATTCTCTGACGTGGGATATGTTGCTGCTAGCACAGATAGGAGTGACTCCTGAGTACTGCTGGATGATCCTCAACCACCACCAGAAAAAAAGTAATTCTAATTCCCAACATGAAGAAGGCAACTGACAGAGAGCAAAATAGTGGTATATTAGTGGCTAGAGCTGATACAATACATTCCTGCTAAAGAAATTATTGAGCAGAAATGAATTCTCTCTCAAAGTGTGGGCAGAGCCATCTTTCCTAAAAATGCTACAGAAATGGCTTCTTCCTTATCTTTTCTAGCTGCTGATGGTTCCCACCATCCCCTGTATTCCTCCTATAGCTGTGTCACCCTAATTTCCTCTGTCTTCAAGTGGTTCTCTGTTCCCTGTGCTTAAGCATCTTCTCCTCTTAGAAGAGCAGCTTTCATATTGGATTTAGGACCAATCCTAATCCAATCTGACC